TTTTTACTATACATTACTATATTATAGAATTTGTCTTGTGAAAATTTAAACTATTTTTAGAAATTGGGTTTTGATAAACTATTACAAGTTAAAAAATATAGTTTAAATCATTAAACTATATATATAGTTTATATAATAGTATATTTGTTTTTTGAATAAACACAAATTTGAAACACTGTTATAATACACTGAAAGTACGTAAAAATACGGGCCAATTTTGTTATTTGATGATTCATTTTGAATCAAATTCGAATCATTTTTTATTTTTGAATAAAAAACACCAAAAAGGAAGAAAAAGAAATAAAAAGAAACTATAATAACCCGACTTTTTTATTTTTTCCGTGTTCTGGAAGTAAAAAACACAATAATTTGGGTAAAAGAAGAAAAAGGAAAATGGGTGTGGGGTTTTCTCCAGGTGTGGGTTTCTCGCCTCACTTTAGTTGATTTTATAATTCAAAGAGAAAAAATGTTGAACCAAACACAAATGTTGTGAAACTCCTTGTCGGACTTTTGTATGTGTATTCGCACAAAAAAATCATAAGCTTTGTGAGAGATATCTTTTTCATTATTATAAATTGTGCATTTTTTTATAGCAACTTTGGATATAAAAATTTTTTAACCTATGGCCTTTATGTGTTTAGAAATTGAAGAAAACAACGACGAGTTAATGTCAATTTTTAAATCGACTGTTCTATGGTTTGTTTGTTTCAAGAAACTGTTTGTATGTGATAATACTTGAAAATACTTATTTTTTTGATATTTTAATTTTAATTGTGAATTGCTTAGTTATAATACTTAAAATCAGATAGCATTTACAGTTGCTAAGAAAATTATAATTAGATAGCCAAATACAATTATGTTATTTAAAAATATGTTACTAAAATATTTGTTTGTTAATCGGGTTTTTTGTGTGTATTACAATACATATTTTAACTCTTTTTTATAAACCATGTTGTTATAATAAAAAAACATTTTATTTCTAACAAAGACAAAAAATCAATTGATGTAATGCACTTCTGTGTTTATAGGAAAACACTCACAACCAATTGACACATTAAGTGACAATATATTCACAGTTGTCAGTTTGTAACAGTCACCAAAACAAGCAAATCCAATTGATGAAACGTTTGATGGTATTGTAATATTGATTAGACTATAACACTCGAAAAAACAATAATCACCAATAGACACAACACTTAATGGTATTTCTATACTTTTTAGTTTTTCACACATAGCAAAACATTTATAACTTAATTTTGTAATTGTCGGTGGTAATATCACACTAACCAGATTATCGCAATGACAAAAACTATAATCGCCTAATAAAGTCACATTTGAAGGAACAGTAAGATTAATCAAAGTAGTATTAAAATAAAAACATTTTTCGCCAATTGATTTGACTATTAATGGAATAGTATCACCAAACGTTTTTCTGTCGTTTTTTGTGTATGTCACATTTTTAAATATAACATTTTTATATTTTATGTTTTTGTCAACAATTGTAAAATCTACACTAAACTAAACAATAATTAGATAATAACTTTTTATTGCAATTTTAATATTTGGTTTGTGTGTATTTTCACAATAATCACTATTTGGCGTAGTGATTAAAAATACATTTAAAAAAATTTCATCTTCTTTGTGATACAAATAAAGTGTTAAAATTTTTGGAAAATAATTAATAGTTTTGTCTGTGACTGGAACTGGATTATAATGAAACTTTTTCATAGTGTTTTTGTACTTCTTGCACACAATTTCCAGTTTTATAATATCTCTAATCGTCTCAAAATATTTCGAGACAACCATGATGTGATAAGTATCAAGTTTGGACATTTTAATCTAAATTTTAATTTGGTTATCTGTGTTTAAATTTTCGTGAAACAAAAAAATAAAAGTCATTTAAAATGCAAAAAAAACATTTTGAATTATTTATTATGAACAATGATAAATAAATTAATGGTTAATAAAATATATAAAGTAGTTGAGAAATTCACTTAACACTTAGAAGCTATACAAAATAATATTTTTGGGAAATGATGCATCAAATACAACAATAGTTTAAAATGAAAATTACATTACTACAACAATAGTTTACTTTAAATTATAAAGTCTGTTTTCTATTTAACGATATTCTAAAAATATAACAAAGAAAAGAACTAGACCCAAAATATTAAACCATTATTTACTATACTCAATATCGCTAATTAAAAACCATTAACTATTAATAAAATTATCATAAATTAGAACTAATGATAAACAATTATTTTGAGCATTGACTTTTTTCAAATCATTTGTTGTCGTCTTCAATTTGACCCAAATGATAATTTGACATGTCTAATCTATAAATATGACATT